CAGTTACAATTTAAAAAGGTTTTACACAATTAGATAAAATATCGATTCACATACCCTTTAAGCTTTCCCTGATTTTTTCAAGTTCACTTTCTTGGGCCTCTAAAGATATTTCCAAGCCCGCCATTTCTTCCATTCGATCATTCAAATCCTGTTCATTAAATCGTAATGCTGTTTTCGCTTCCGAAAGTCCATGACGATCCTATATTAAAAGCTTATTGTATTTCTCGAATATATCTGTGCATCAATATAACATAAACAAATAAAACCTACTGTAGAAATTGTCATTGTCACTTTCTTCAGTTTAGAAATTGCGTGTTTTCTTCTTTCTTCCAGGTTAATATTTTCTTTATCATAATTTGTCAATTCTGTTAGAATTTCATTTGTTTCTTTTTCAAGTTGCTTATTAAGATAAACACAATTATTAAATTAATGAAATTTTATTTATTTATAAATTATAATAATTATTTTACCTGATAAGCATTAACAGAATCTCTGTATTTATCTTCAAGATCTTTGTTATCTTGTTTTATCTGAATATGCTTTTCTTCTTCTTCTCTCAGTTGATCTTTTAATTTATTCTAAGAATTAATAAATAAATTAATTGCCATATTAACTTGTCTGAATAAGTTATTAAATCTAATGACTTACCACAGCCTTAGTAGATATTTCAGAATTAATCTTACACCCTAGCAATTTTTTTTGATAAAGGGCGGACTGTTTCAAAATTAATGTGTTTTCATCTCGGAGATAATTTTCTGCTTCTTTATTCTTGGCCTTTCAATTCGAATCATTATTGTTATGTAATATGATTACAAACGCGATTTACTAATAATATGTTACCTCTAAACTTAGTTTCTCCTTTTCAACTATTTTAACGCGATTTAATTTTTCTGCTCGTTCTTCATCCAATGTTTCACCTTTTTCATTTGCTTCTTCAAGAGGGACCTTATATTTGAAGTTCCAATAATATCTTCAATATATTCTAAGAGTCCGTCTTCATGTCCATTTGATGCTTTGGGTTTCATCTGCGATATTAATTCAACTTCTCCCTAATCATTAATTTAAGCATAAAATTTTGATGATTTCAATATATTCATCATATACCTCATGATGAAAACATAATAAATAAATAAAAAGGGAACCTGCAAAATTAGAAATCGTTTATGATCCAAATCGATCCCCCTTTCTTTCAAAAGTCTTGTAACTTCAGTGTAATTGCTTTGTCGCCCATTTATGAAATGCTTGCATTATTGCAAAATGCTTGACGCGAGATAACCAATTGAGATTGAGGTAGAACCTCATAATTATCCGAACCAGGCTATAATATTATTGAAATCATTTGTGAAATTTTTTTTTTTTTTTTTTGGAAATTATAACTTTATTATATTTTGTTTCTTTACCAAGTCAAGAATTTCTTCAAAATATATATCAACACTGCACGCATCCAGATTTTCACATCCTTGTGATGAATGAATAAGTTCTGATAATTTGGCTTGCCTCATTTTATTTGCTCGATAACCAAATACAAATAAAAGCGCATC